TGAGGATGACTGTAATAATGTTTGGATCCTCTGACTTTTCACTGACTGCCATCACCAGGTCATTATCATAATGGGTCCAATAATTAGGTTTATGACCACATAACTGCCAACTATTGATATTCTCGTTAGCCTCAGCTGTACTTATTATTTTCTGATAATTACGTTTGCAATGGCAAACATTATACCTGCTAAACATAACCACTTTAGCATTGTCATTAAAAACAATAAAGCATGAAAGGAAAACGTCTCCCAGTCTCTTTCCTGTCCTGTGTTGTATGCCATGTTAATACCAAAAAGTATTATAATTGCATTAACTGTCAACTTGCAAATGACTGAATCTGAAGTTGGTTGAGTTTTTTAATGTGATTTTTAATGTTATCAAAAGAAATACAATTAATAAGACCATTACACATGATACAATATTTATTTGCATAGTATTAGTTTGCTTTAAGTAGAAAGTGACAGGAGACACTGAGAATAGTATATATTTTACAGTGTTTGGTTGACAGCTGAGCGGCTTCAGCAGCTAATTGAAGGTTTTAATGAGTCTTCAACCTTTATTTGTGTTATACATTCTGCAACAAACCCCTGAGGTTGAAATGAAAATCAAAAAGCACCGATCCATCCACGTTCAACTGCAGCAAGGATTCCTCTGTTGTCCAGTGAGAGCTTCTCCTCGTCCTGCAGCTCATCAGTTGTCCTTTGATGCTGTTACTTCATTAGACTTTATTTCATTAAGCTCAATCTTAGCGTCTCTGTTTGCTTCACTCTGCCTGTGCCTGGACAGAAAGGAACAAAAGGAAATTGTCTAAATCAATATATTTTATTCAAACGTGATGTGCTTCTTTCCAGGTAGCCATTGGCTTAAAACGTCCACTTTTCCAGTAAAGGGAATTATTACTCTCTTAAGAGGCCCTTTAATGTTTTTTGGGGTTTCCCCTTCCTGTAGTGTGTTCTATAGGCTTTTTGTGTGCATGCTAATGGTCTGCAAAGGGTAAAATCCTTAGCGCTCCAACACATTGTACGTGATAGGCATCTCTAAGCGGTTGACCAATCACAACAGAGCCGGCCAGCTAACCAATCAGAGCAGACTGGGCTCTGGTTTCAGACAGAGGGTGAAAAGAGGTGCTGCAGCACAGGCAGTATGAGAAGAATAAAGAGCTTTTTTTACTGTGGTGGATCCGGATCTTTATGTTTTATTTCATCGCCTTAGACTTGTCTCCACAGTCCACGTTTGGATGCATCGGTTCAGATCCCTTTTCTTCATGTTCCTCTTCTCGCTTTCACAGCTTGAGGAGAATCAGATACATCGAGCCTCATGTTTCTGTAAAAATGAAATTGATTCAGCTTTATCCAGTTGAGTTTCAAAGCTGTTGGGACTCTGTCCTCCTCTCTGGTCTTCATACTTTCAGAAATCAATTCAATCTTTATAACCTGTGTTCCTAGAATACAACAACACAAGGTTTGATTGCTTAAAGGTGGGGTAGGTAATTTTTGAGAAACCAGCTCGAGTGCGCTAGAATTTGAAAATACACAACCGGAGAAAATCTGCCCCTTCCTTATAGAGCCCCTCCTCCAACACACACGAACGCGCACATGACCAATGAGGGCACGAGATAAGTTTGTGCACAGATGGAAGGCTGACAGGCAGGTAGGCCATCCAGTTATTTTAGCCGGGCCGGCTAAAATGATTGATATGGTCGTACAGTACTACGAAAAAAATTTATGGATTTTTTGTCAAAGCACTTAAGATATTCATTGCTATCGGGATGTTAAGAGCATTCCATGGAATATAACAAAAAGTGTATCTCGAGCCTGTTTCTCAAACTTACCTACCCAACGTTTATTATAATGAAAATGACCTTTTTTCCTCAAGCTTCATGATTGTTTTTGTATTTCTAAACTCCCCACAGACACAAGCAGAGGATCATTGCAAAACACCACTGAGACAATAATGGATGAAGTGCACATAACATTATTTTATGTAATATATAACTGGATCACCTCCCAAACGTTTGACTCACCACTGAGTAGCTTGTTTATGACAGCTACATCTCCCAGCAATGTAAGTGACTTTGTATCTCACAGCTACTTGTTTTTGTTTTGATGTGTACTCCAGGAGGTCACAGAGGAGCATGCCAGACACTATGATATCAATCCTCTTCCTTTACAAACCGGGAATCTGTCTACGGCTGAACTTCCTTCCACCACTGCATCACTTTTGTAACATTTCACAACAAGCGTTAAATCATATGCTGATGTTCAACGAATGCATGATTTCCTGATGATTTGATGCCTTCCTGCAGGACGCATCATGGATTCCCAACTTAAAGAAAGGATCAGGTCACTGTGACTTTATGAGATAGCTTCACACTTTATAAAGCATCAATCAATCAGGGAATGGTATTAACAGTTTCATTTGATTACATTAGTTTTTAGGACACAACTCACTTAACATTTTTCAACAGAAATATGAAGCTATTTTATGTTGAAAGTAATGGGTGAATGTGTGTTTTCCCTGACATTAAAATATTTGACTGAGCCAATACAAAAGGCTTACAGTAATAGACTGCAACTGTATCAACTGAGAAAGAAGTTTACTCAAATGAATGTCTCTATTGAGAAACATGTTCAACAGAGGAAAGCTGTGACAGATTAGTGTCAGAAGTTAGAGGACAACCAAAGGGACGTAGAGTTTGTTTTTGTTCATCTCTCCCCTCAGAGGTCAGATGATGACCTTAGGGATGCTCTTCAAAAGTGTATGTAGTGCAGCGTGTGAAATTCGTCATTGTCGCTGTTTAAATCCATTTATCCATGCTAGGGGTCAGTTTGTGACCTGAAACAAAAACATGCAGAACCAGAGTTTGAATAAAGGCAAAAAAAGTAGAAGTAAATATTCAAATAATTCAATAATACTATGAAACAATCCGTATCCAACCATGAACCACTTTTGTTTACTCAGCTTGATTTACTGTGAGACTTGGTCTCGTGGTTGAATTTTCTGAATATTTAAAACCACATGTCTGCAGGAAGGCAGATGGAGTTAGTGGGAAGAAAAAACAAACCCAAGAAGGCAATAATACAACAAATAAAATGGTACAGCAGAGTGGTGTTTTCTCTTAGGAAATGTGGCCTTTTCTATCCTGTCTCTGAAGAAGAATGGATGTCCTGGCTTTATATAAATATGTCAAGGGTAGGTAATAGGCCAGTCGATGTGTAAGTCAATGGGATGCGAAGGCTAACATCCAAAGGTTACTACATTATCTAAGATATTATACTTTTTTGTTGTGGTTGTTTTAATGAAAAAACACACAAAACATACATATGTAAAATAAGATTACAATTGTTTAAATTATATTTGGCAAAAACAGTGTTAATCATTTTGTATTAAAGAAACAGCCACCAGGTGGAGATAGAGTCACAGTTCTCATGGGAATTGTAACCAAACAAATAAATAAATAAATCTCAAATGTAAGCAGGTTGCAGTTTTGAAAAAAATAATACGATGTTTTAATGAGGGGATATATATAAATTCTAATCATAGTTTCTAGTTAACATTTTAAATGTGTTTTTCTTGAGAGGATATTTATATGAATGTGGCTAAGACCTACTATTAGTCATACGCTGAGAGATAGATGTAGGAGGTGTGAGTAAGATTAAACATCCAAAGATTGCTTATTGTCATCATGTGATGTCCCACTGTGTTAGGAAAAGAAGTCCAAATCCCTTTACAATCTAAATACACTTTATTTACAGCCCCTTTCAAACATACTTACAAAAGCAATGAACCTGATAAACACAGAATGAGTGGGTATAGATGTATCACAGTTGATATTCTCAAACTGAGACCAAAGCTGTCACGGAGGAATTAAATGAATCTTTAAACTGATAGATAAGATGAATAAGATAAGATGTACTTTATGGATCCCAATTTGGGAAATGTTTGCAGCATAAAAACAAGGCATTGCACACAAGATAAATTATGATGATTAGGAAAAAGCAGTGATGTTACATTAACATGTGAATGTTGTTCAATAAACGAAAACACTAAAGGCTTCTAAACATATAAAGTAACCTTTAGTCACAGATGATGTTTCCTGTGTAAAGTGGGTGCCCCTCTTCAGATGAGGTGCAGTACGTTTAGCAAGGTGTGCTGTTGCTGTGGTAACCTGACCTCCACCTGCAGGAAACAGCTGCAGAGAGACGACAGTCTGCAGGAAGAGAAGCATCATCATTTCCCCCTTCAGTTCAGACTTCAGATAAGCTGCATTCTTAGCTTTGCAGTCATGCAAAGTACATTACTTGTACTATATTGAATTTGTAGTAATAATATTCTGGATTGATTTGGATTCACAAGATCACATGACATGAGAGGTATTGAAAATATCAAGACTTTTTTAATGAAAAACTCAAACAGAATAAAAAGAAGGTGGACTTGAATCTAATAAAAAATATGTCTTAGTTAATCGAGTGCAGTAATACAATTGTGCACCAATTCGGAGTCACTGGGTCACATGACGTGGATGCTATCGAAAATAAATACAACTTTTTAAATAAAGAAACTACTTTAAATGACTACATTTAAATACAAATCCTCTGATAAATAAGCACTTAAATCGAACCAAAAGAAGTGTGTCTTAATTGTCTAGTGTAATAGTGTGGTTATTATACCTAGAGTAGATTTGGAGTCACTGACTTTGTAATAGATTACATAGAAGATATTAAAATAATTGAAATGATGTTCTAATAATATAATGTTCTAAAATCAATTCAACGAAAACATTTCCTAATTTGGGATAAATAAAGTACTTATTATCTTATATTTATGAACCATCCATGAGTAATCAAAAAGGTGTGCCACACAAAAGGCACATTTATAATATTTGAAGCATATTTTACTCTAATATAAGGAAGTAAGCATGGATAAAGGTATTCATAATAAGATTGGTGCGTCGAATATCCGACCTAGAACTCACTTCACTGCAGTAGCATTTCGTTCCTGAATTTGTACCGGAGTGACACATCAGTTTATTCGTCCTATCTTTGGAGAGAGTGTGTGTGGTGTGTGTGTGTTGGCAAGTGTCACCGTGTTTTACTCCGCGTTACCTCAAATCTTCATCGGTGAATTCATCCACTGTGATGGAGGAGGACAGAGAAGACATATCCGGGGGAGAAGGAGAAGGAGAAGGAGAAGGAGGGTACCACCGGCCAGCCAAGCGGCTCCGCACGGAGGAGGAGGCCGGCGGAGAGGAGCTGGAGGACGGGGAGGAGGAATCTGAGGAGGCGGTGGTGAGCAGCGGCACCACCGACAGCAGGAACCGGAGCACCGGAGGGAAGGTGGGGGACAGTTTCTATCAATCCTGCTTTTAAAATATGGTTAGAATATAAATAACGCTCGTGTCATATAATAATTCCAATATAATCTTGTTTACACTAAATGACAATGAATGAATTGCGATTAAAAGAACAGAAAAACAGTAAAAAGTCTTATGCTCTCAATATGTAGCCTATTACTATTTAAATCACTGAAGAAATGAAAGTGATGTCTACGTTGGCAGAAAATAACAGGAACGAGTCATATAGTCATATAAACTACATTTAGCACGGAAGTGAAATAAATATTACTTATAAGTCGTATCTCTGAGTATTATTAGAAGTTCTTCATGGGGAGGTTATATATAGCTAAATAATGCTTGTGTCATATAATAATTCCAATATATTCTTGTTTCTACTAAATGACAATGAATGAATTATGATTAAAGGAACAGAAAAACTGTAAAAAGTCCTATGCACTCAATATTTATGAATATTTCTCACTATTTAAATCAGTGAAGAAATGAGATGGATGTCTACGTTTGCAGAAATTAACAGGAAATAGTCACATAGTCATACTACATGTAGCACGGAAGTGAAATAAATATGACTTATAAGTCGTATCTGAGTATTATTAGATGTTCTTCATGGGAAGGTTATTTAGGGATGTTTTACTGACTCTTTATGAGGAAGTCAGGGTTCCCACACTCATATGTCATAAGGCCTTCAAGAAGGGCGATGGAGTGACACAGTAAGCAGCAGAAACACTATTTATTTAGAAATGACAGGGTTCAGCACTGCCTGTTCCAACTTTAGCCAGTTTAGGTTGTCTTTTGTAATGAGGTTAGAGAAGATTTTGATGTTGAAATCGTCACAAGTTTGGCGGTTTGACTCCAGTGTGTCCACAAAGTGTTGTTGAGCAACAAACTGAACCACACATTCCCTCTGATGTTTAGGTTAGCATTGGCCATAGTAGCTCAAGTGTAAGTAAAGGAGAGGCGAAGTCAAAATTGAATTTGTTTGTTCAAAAAGTTGAGTCTGTTACATAATGAACTTGGTCCTCTGCCTCCTCAATGTGTTCTTAAGGAAGTCCTTTTAACGCGGTGGACTTTTTTTCAAGTCAAGCCAACAGGAGAAGTCAGTAGGATATCATTTGAAAATTGAGTTAGTTTGCTTGAAAGTGGAGCGTGTTTGGTTTCATATGAACCACAAGGGTTGGATCTGTGGAAGTAAAACAATATAACCTTGTCTCTTGTTAGCCACGTACCTAACTCAAATCTGGCCATGTCTTACACACTACACCTTAAATGAGCTTCATTACAGGTGTTCAATAGGCCAGACTGATATAGCGCACAGATATTTGTATTTTCTTCTAGTATTATCTTTCATATCAAGCTCTTAAAACGTCATTTGTGTCTGCTGCTTATTCAATGTTACTATCTGGCTCTGATCCTCTACTCGTTGTGACACCAGGGTCTCTCTTTGAGGTTCTGCCAGTGACAGGAAGTGGCTGAAATCAGCAGGAAGTTAGACCATCTGTCCACCTTTATTAGATGAGCCTGTGGTATCAGTCAGTCTGTGACCTTGTTAGTGTCCATGTTAGATCACACTGAACACTGCAATCTAGAGACAGAGAAACATACGTACAATAAATATATGAGGATTTTAGGAAGATCACATATATGTAACATTTACTTTATTGTACCCGTTAGGACATTTATTCTGGACTCAGTCATGCAGGTTTATCCTTATCAGATCAAATATATAGTTACACATTGCCAACATCTGAAAGGTTTATCATATACATTTAGCTTCAAACTGAATAGAGTCAAATTATAATGGAGAAACAATTAAATGTGGAGACGTTTTATATGATAGCTTTAAGGTGTCAGGGATGCATGGGAGGCTGCACACGTCAACAGACAGATTTGTGCAATGCAGTGGTTGGTACATTTAAATGTATTCAGCAGCTGTGAGTGAGTAGCATTGAGAACACCACACTCCTTCACTGTGAGGCGTCTGCATGTGTGTGTTTTATCCTGACACACTGGAGGATGTAGGAGACTTTATTGAAGTCTCATCAAACAGTTTCCTCCCCTCCTCAGCAGATCAGTGAACGCTCTGCAGACAGAGAGCATCATGGGAAACAGATAGTGAAGCAAGCAGGAACTGGACCCAACTGCAGTCAGCAGAAGAAGCAGCAAGATAATTGCAGTTATTTATCAACAAAAGAAAGTCCAAAGGCAGTCGGTCTGGTAGGCAAGCGATGGCAAAGAAGGAAGGTAAAAGAAACAGAAACTCAAAACACTAGAAGAGAACTCTCTCAACGGAAACACACCACTGCTCACTGGTTGCGCCGACAAACTAACAAAGACACATGGGAAACACACAAGAGACTAATTAACTAAGGTTACCCAGGTACAATCAGTGCAGGGAAGCCATTTCCAAAGGCAGGACAACAACACAAAAGACAGGCATAGAGGAGGGACACATCACTATGTCAATGTGTCTTCGGGCAAGATACCTAACCAAGCCCCCAAGAAAAGAATGACATCGGACCTGGGCCAGACTCTTCCCCCCAAATTGCTCATTGCCCACAGCACTGAATGTATGTAAGTCACTTTGGATAAAACTGTCTAACAAGTTTCAAGTAATTGAATGATTTACAGATAGAAAGAGACATCTGTAGATTAGAGGAACATTTGTATTATACATTCGGTCCTAAAAGTTGTAAAATGTGCTAGAATTGAGAGTTATATCCTCTCCATTCATTTGACTGAGCCAAGACCGGCCATTATGGGATGGATCGAAGGCCGGACTTAGCAAAAACACAAGTGTTTCAAGTTTCAAGGCTTTTATTGTCATGTGTGCATAGCTACAGTGTAGTTATGACAAAGTGACATGTAATGTAATGCATGCTATATGGGCCCATTGGACGGGAATATTGCATCGCAATAAGATCCTTGCATTTTTCTACTTGAGTGTCAGGTCAATTTGGCTTCATGCACTACTGAGTAACTCTCATAGGAATAAACAGGATCCTGCCTACAAAGCTGTAACCACTTCTCTAACTACATCCATGTGGCTAGTCGTCTACAAAACGGACTGTCTGTGAAATGATTCCTAGATCCAACAGGGAACATGACGATGTATCCTTGGGCAAGAACCCCAAATTGCTATTGATGGCATGGCCAACACCGGGGTGAATGTTAGTTTTAACCCTAACCCTGAGCAGGCGGCCTTTTGTATGTCAGCCTCTGTCTCTGTTTGAATGTGGGTTATTAGGTGGATGCTTTGTGTCTGCTGCTTATTCATTGTTACTCTCTGGCTCTGATCCTCTACTCGTTGTGACCCTATGGTCTCTCTTTGAGGTTCTGCCAGTGACAGGAAGTGGCTGTAATTATATGTTGTATGTCAGGGACTACGGATGGATATTAGCTCAAGGCTAAAATCCGGCATATTTACACTTGAAGCATTATTTGTCTTAAAGGGGACCTATCATGCAAAAGTGCATTTTGCATGATAGGTCCCCTTTAAGTGTTCATTAATGTGCATTGTCCCTATTCAAATAAACGATTAAATGAAATGAAATGAAATCAGCAGGAAGTTAGACCATCTGTCCACCTTTATTAGATGAGCCTGTGGTATCAGTCAGTCTGTGACCTTGTTAGTGTCCATGTTAGATCACACTGAACACTGCAATCTAGAGACAGAGAAACATACGTACAATAAATATATGAGGATTTTAGGAAGATCACATATATGTAACATTTACTTTATTGTACTCGTTAGGACATTTATTCTGGACTCAGTCATGCAGGTTTATCCTTATCAGATCAAATATATAGTTACACATTGCCAACATCTGAAAGGTTTCTCATATACATTTAGCTTCAAACTGAATAGAGTCAAATTAAAATGGAGAAACAATTAAATGTGTAGACGTTTTATATGATAGCTTTAAGGTGTCAGGGATGCATGGGAGGCTGCACACGTCAACAGACAGATTTGTGCAATGCAGTGGTTGGTACATTTAAATGTATTCAGCAGCTGTGAGTGAGTAGCATTGAGAACACCACACTCCTTCACTGTGAGGCGTCTGCATGTGTGTGTTGTATCCTGACACACTGGAGGATGTAGGAGACTTTATTGAAGTCTCATCAAACAGTTTCCTCCCCTCCTCAGCAGATCAGTGAACGCTCTGCAGACAGAGAGCATCATGGGAAACAGATAGTGAAGCAAGCAGGAACTGGACCCAACTGCAGTCAGCAGAAGAAGCAGCAAGATAATTGCAGTTATTTATCAACAAAAGAAAGTCCAAAGGCAGTCGGTCTGGTAGGCAAGCGATGACAAAGAAGGAAGGTAAAAGAAACAGAAACTCAAAACACTAGAATAGAACTCTCTCAACGGAAACACACCACTGCTCACTGGTTGCGCCGACAAACTAACAAAGACACATGGGAAACACACAAGAGACTAATTAACTAAGGTTACCCAGGTACAATCAGGGCAGGGAAGCCATTTCCAAAGGCAGGACAACAACACAAAAGACAGGCATAGAGGAGGGACACATCACTATGTCAATGTGTCTTCGGGCAAGATACCTAACCAAGCCCCCAAGAAAGGAATGACATCGGAAAAAAAATACTTAATCCATGTGTCCCTGGGCCAGACTCTTCCCCCCAAATTGCTCATTGCCCACAGCACTGAATGTATGTAAGTCGCTTTGGATAAAACTGTCTAACAAGTTTCAAGTAATGTAATGATTTACAGATAGAAAGAGACATCTGTAGATTAGCGGAACATTTGTATTATACATTCGGTCCTAAAAGTTGTAAAATGTGCTAAAATTGAGAGTTATATCCTCTCCATTCATTTGACTGAGCCAAGACCGGCCATTATGGGATGGATCGAAGGCCGGACTTAGCAAAAACACAAGTGTTTCAAGTTTCAAGGCTTTTATTGTCATGTGTGCATAGCTACAGTGTAGTTATGACAAAGTGACATGTAATGTAATGCATGCT